GTCGTGTTCTTGTGCTGCTCCTCCAACCAAACTGGGACCACAGAAGAGGAGCTGGGAGATTTTCTTCCTATTTGGTGCTAAAGAAAGAAGGATTTTGCCTACTAAGCCCCAGTGTTGCAGTTTTATAGAATCATAGAATGTGTTGGGTTGGAAGGGACCTTTAAAGGTCATCTAGTCCAGCCCCCCTGCAGTGAGGAGGGACAGAGCCCCATCAAGCCTGACCTTGGATGTCTCCAGGGATGGGGCCTCCACAACACGTTCCAGTGTTTCACCACCCTCACAGTCAAGAACTAATGTCTTTCTAATGTTTATCTGCTCTGACCTCAGCTCACACATTCTACACTCAGCACTTCTCCACCACTTCACATTAGTCCAATAACAGCAACAGGATCAGCTTCTAAGGTGCAAAAACACAAATACATGTGATGTGCTCTGTTCCTTTTGCCTTTTTTGCACTCCTGGAGCTGTATTTGGATCTTGTCTGCAGACTTCTCCCTGCAAAGGTAATTTTTTTCAGGCAAAGGCAGAGATTTTAATTTGTCCACCTGACTCCAGGAGTGGGAACCTTAAGCAAAAACAAAGAGATGGGGAGATCTCTCTCTACCCATAAGGACTTATTTGCTCTCAGCCAGACCTCACCCACCTCTGCAAATATCTCCTGTATAAAACATCAGGCTTGGCTACTTCAAGGCAGTGGAATATAGATTTCTTGTTTGCTTGCTTGTTAAGAAGAATCAGATTAGGAGACATTCCAGCTGATTTTGACCTTTCCAAAACAGCTCGAGTGTTAATAATATTAAAAAAGAGAGGGGGAAAAAAGCTTCACTGACTTAAACAGGGGAGAGATTCAGTAAATTCCCATGGACAGCCTAGCAAAAATGGTTCCTGTCCATTCAAGAGTCTTCAGAACCTCATCTCCATGCCCCCACTACACTACACCAACTAATCACTTTGCAGAACCAAACCCCTGTACCACAAAGGAACACCTGAACAACTTGGCAAGATGATCTGGTTTAAGGAAAGTGAGAATTCCTTGATATCAGGTTTTATGGATCAGGGAAACAGACACCACCATCAGCCCCATGACTTCTACATAAGTAACAGAGAAACATGAAGAAGACCCTGCTTAGCCAGCAGTTTACTTGGGAATTTGATCAGCTTCTTATTACTCCAACACCACATCCCAAATGAGTGCTGGTATTTGATTTGTGCTGTCACCCTCACTTTGGGATAACAGGAACAGCTGCTCTGACCCTGTTCACCCACAGGACTTGCTCAGAAAGAAGGGACACTTTTCCTGCTTAGGGTGGTCAGAAAATCAGTGAGCTTTCATCTGGAAGCTGAATAGCAAATATCCATCTCTGGTTGCCAACGTGCACTTCAGCCTGGTAGAAATGTCTCCATTAAAACACCAAGGCAGCCCAAGGCTGAAGGGTTGTCCAGAATCTACTACAAGGAGAAGTGGAACAACTCTCATCTCCCAAGAGCAGCAATGCCAGGAGGACACTTCTAAATGGTTCTCCAGATGTGTCCCCAATAGTCTTAAAAGTACATAACATTTTTGTAATAAATACATCACAGCTGGGCCACCTGCTGCCTTCAGTCCTTCTGACTATGGCACAAGCACTTCTGGATGTCACTGGAAGATGGCTCAGAAGTGTTCAGGTGCAAGACCTCTGACATGTAGAACTTCCAGGGTTAGTTTTCCTCCAAACCATCCCATTCTTAGTAAAGGAGGTGATTCTCTCCCTCTGTACCACCCTCGTGAGACCCACCTGCACTTCTGTGTCCAGTTCTGGAGCCTCCAACACAGGAACAACATGAAGCTGTTGGGGCGAGTTCAGAGGAGGCCACAATGACCAGAAGGCTGGAGAAGCTCTGCACTGGAGACAGGCTGAGAGTTGGGGTTATTCAGTGTGGAGAAGGCCCTGGGGAGACCTTAGAGCACCTTCCAGTGCCTGAAGGGGCTCCAAGAAAGCTGGGGAGGGACTTTGAACAAGGGCAGAGTAGTGGGACAAGGAGTAGTGGATTAAAACTGGAAGAGGGGAGATTTAGGTCAGACATCAGGAGGAAATTCTTTAGTGTGAGGGTGGGGAGAGCCTGGCCCAGGTTGCCCAGAGAAGCTGTGGCTGCCCCATCCCTGGCAGTGTTGAAGGGCAGGTTGGATGGGGCTTGGAGCAGCCTGGTCTGGTAGGAGGGAGTTTGAACTAGATGATTTTTAAGGTCCCTTTGAACCCAAACCAGTCTGGGATTCATTCTCCATGTCAGATGTTACCTGCCATGCAGGAGAGAGAAGGGTTAACCCGGTGGGGGGCTGCTGCAGCTCTGCAATTCAAGGTGCTCCCTCCAGCCAGCACAGCAGCTGAGTGTTCTCTTCACAGCAGTTATTGGCTTGAGAGAATCAAATTAATTACTTCAGTAATTACCAAACTAATTACCTCTCTAATTACTGTACCTCTTTGTTCACACAGAGCTGACGTTCTTGCAGAGGAGCCCTGGCTCAGCGCCCCATGTTCTCTGGGAACCTGCCTGGCTGTTTCATAATGACTTGTAGACTCAGGTCCTTTTCACACGACATTCAGGATGTTTCCCTCTTCCTCAGGGAGGGGTAGATGCTGACCAAGTTCCTTGGCTGGTGCAGGTGAGTTTTCACTGCAGTGACTGCTTTGCTGCCAGGCAGACTGTGGAAGGGCACATAGGTTTCTCTGGTGGGAATCTCCTCAGCACCCTCTGTGCTGATCTGGTGATCCTACATCTCCCAGCTGTGGAATCACCACCATGACACTAATGATCAAACTAGAGATGTGCTTTCCCCTCCAGGCCCCACTTGATACTGCTCCCTCTGATGGGAACAGCAGCTGAGAGCAAACAGGAAGGTAACTTAAGATGACAGATGCTCCCACCCAACACAGAGCTGAAAGCAGCAGGGTGTTCACCCAGCAAAACTCAACATGAACATCAATGTCAACTCATGTTCCCTCCCCAGGCGTACTCTCTTCTTTGTTTTCCAGACCTCTACTTGAATCTTGGGCTCTCAAGAGCCAGGATCTTGTCACTCACTGCACTCCTGAACTTCAGTGTGACAGCGGGTGCTTAGCCCTGAAAACAGCCCCCAACTCCTTAAGGGAGAGTCATTGTTCTTAAAGCTTGAAAACAAAGGATTTTATTAAAGCTGATCATGAGCTGTGGATGATTTTGCATAAAGAGGTGTTTGAGCTTGACCACAGGCAGGACTCTCATGGTTGTATGATGGATGCCCACTGATATGACCTCTCTTCCTCCCTCCTTCCATATTCTTCTCTCTTTTGTCTTCAACCAACTTCCAAAACATGGTGTCAGCTCAACACAAACGTTTTCAAATGCTTAACTGACCAGCTTACAAAATTCAATTCTGTGGCCATTTGCCCACAGGTGAGAAGACACCAAAATCCAAATCCTTATCTAAGTGGCAACACCCACCTCTTGATCAAATAGCATTCACTATGAGCAGGTGAGCTGCAATGTGGTACCAGCTGGCATGGGACAAGTGCATGATGATCTTTGGGTCCCACAGATGAGATTGGGCACACTGGAAAAATGACTTGGGATCACTCTGCTGCCTCCAACATCACCTCTCAACTCTGTTTTGAAAAGAACAGCCAACTGCTGACATCCACACTAGCAAATGAGGAGAAGGAAGAAGACAAAGACTGACTTTAAAAGTTGTCCACAACATGGACAATTTAAAGTCTACAACCTGTTTGCTGCAATCAGCATCCCCTGAGCTCAAACAACACATGCTAGAGATGCCACTACTGATGATACAGAAGATGTTTAAAGAACACAACATCTCAAATGAAGCCTGAAACACAGTTGGAACAAAGCGAGCAAGACTGACTCCCATTGCTCAAGGCTGTCAGGATGGAAAACCAATAAACATTTGGCAATAGCAGAGACCTTCCTTCCCCACACAGCTCTTTTCCTGATTTTACAGAATCATCTGGCCTTAAAAACGTCTGCTTTTCCTCTATGCTGCATTTTGCTGCCAAGTCTAAGTCTGGCAAGGACGGATCTGCCAGCTTCTTGGCTCTCTGTTACAAAAGAGAACATTATAAAGGAGAATTTGTGAGTTAGCTGATTTGTAAACACTACAGCAAGGCACCATGTGAACATGTCACTTATGTCCCTATTATTTCTCTCAAGCAATTTACCTGGCACCTGACATAGAACTCAGAGATCTCCCTCTCCTACTAATACTACAGTTACTTCACTTTTAAAAAAAGCTCAGCTTCTTTTTGTAACATTAAAAGAATTAGAAGCCTTAATTAAGCAGTACACACAAAGCATTCTGATAATTAGAATAGGAGAGGCACGGGCAATATTTTGAATATAAATGAGATCTGCAGGTGCACTTGCAGTTGCAGGGTAGGATGCAGTTCAAACATAGCCAATTAGAGAAACAACAGGTAAACAAATAGCAGAAGGCTCCAGACACGTTGCTCACTTGACACTATTGTTATTGTGTAAAAAAATCTTTGCTGAGATTGCCTGGTAAGGTGAACGTTGCAGTGGTTACCTGAACAGGAACAATTACATGGAGCAGGGTATTTGCAGAAGGACAGTCTGCAGGTTTGGGCTCAGCATGCCCTTCCATTCCCAAGTACCTTCCAAGAAAGGAAAATGGTAGTGCATGAATCACAGCACATTAGCACGTGGGATCCTTTTAGGCTGCTGTGCTGGAAAACAGTTCTACCACTCCTGAAATCAAGGTTGGTTATGCAGAGAAATCTATGCTTTAAAGCTTCATCAATAACATCTGCTGGAAAAACATAATTGACAGAGGAGAGGGAACATCATCCACCTCTGAGAAGTGGAAAGAGAGACAGGCTGAAACATCAATCTTGTGCATAAAATAGATTTATTGTTGGCATATTTGTCAGTACTTGATAGGACAAGGAGCACAACAAGAATCATCTCAGGTAAATAAAGGCCATGTTACATCTGAAGTGGTGGATCATTAACATCATTCCAGCAGAAGGCCTGGGGAGAGACTTGCATCAAGTTACACAATTTGTAAAATAAGTTAAAGCTCAATTTAGGTCATTATAGGTTGCAGGGAAAACTGTACTACGAGCAACAAGTAGAGGCTGTAGAGTGAGGAGAAGCCTGTGGGCTGACTTACCCACCAAGTGCCACCAGGTCCTGGCACACCAAGTGTTGCAGACCCGTGCCTCTGACAGTGAGAAGTTTTTCAGGAGATTCTACACTGAAATAGCAGCATTTGAAGGATTTTTCCCTTTTCTAAGGTCAGTGAAAGGTTCTTTTCTTTTTCTTCCTTCAATCACCAATAAGTGGATTTTACTAGGACTGAACAGTATCTTCGGCTGGACGATTTCTGATGTAATAAGATACAGGTCTTGGCTTCCCAAATGGTCACACTGATTGAACTGTGATGGTTTCTGCTCCTCAAATGGCTCTTCCAGTTCTTCTCTTTATTGGTCTGCCCTGTTAATGGGCTGTCATATCATTCTTGGGAAAAAAAAATGCTCTTCTGCTGAAATTAGAGTTGATGGTCTTGTGCTTGATTCGGACAATGCCTTTATCCTCCCCTGCCAAGCATGCTCTGCTAAGGGAACAGAGAGGGGTCATGGGGAGGGAGAAACACATATTTCAGTAACTCAGAGTTATTCTGGACACTCCCTGAAGTTTGGCTACAATTCCGTCCCAGGATTTGCAATTTTAAAAATAAAAACATATAAAAAACCCCACAGTGTCAACAGGCTTCATCACAGAGCCAAGTCACAGATGCACAAGGAAGCCATCTGAAGACTCTTCAAGCCAACCAACTGGAGGCCTGAAGAGCTGCAGTAATCATAGAATGGTTAAGGTTGGAAGGGACCTTAAAGACCTCATGGTGAAAAATTTCTTCTTGACGTCTAAGACCATTACCCCTTGTCCTATCCTTGACCTCTCTGGTGAAAAGCCCCTCCCCAGCTTTCCTGTAGGTCACCTTCAGGTACCTCCTTCCTGTGTTCTGAGTCATATTCAAAACCTCTATAGTCTGAACATGTTGCACCAACCTTTCACTTCATTATTCACCTCATGTGCAGAGTCAGGCCACCAAGAGCTTAAAGTGAAAATCTGTCAAGTAGTCCAAGAGTCACTCCTCTCACCACACCAAAGAGCTTTGCCATCAAGGTCTTGACCCTTCAGAGAGGTCCTTGGCCTCTACCATGAAAATACAGACTTGCAAGGACAGAATGTAGGGCTCTACTAAGAACTTATTACTGTCATGACCTAGAAATAAAAGGGTCTGCATAAATGAGCCCAGATATGGATACTATTTGTCTAGATGAATAAGGAGGAACAGAAAGTGGGATCTAACAAGACACTGACAGGGTAAGCAGGGAGGCTGGAGGCCATTCATGGTCACTGGAGGACTACAACATTGACCAAGGCAATCTCTTGTTCTTGCCTACATAATCTAGGTAATAGGGAAGACAGTAATGATGGGCTCCTTGTAAGAGATGGTAGGAAAGGATTTGATAATTTTTAGGGCTTATGTTTAGGAGCAAGTCCAAATGTAAAGCTTGAGATCTCACAGGAGACCTGCAAACAGCTGGTGCAGGTATTTGAGCAGCAGTATCTGGCCAGGCAGGGCACATGGTCATGTGAGTCTGGACTGCATTGTCAGAGGCACAGAAGTTAGGGCTTGGGAAAATTAAAGGGAATGAAAAATCTGCTGTCCTGCTTGTCTTCAAGCAAATTCTCACTGTATTTCTAAAAAACAACCCAGTGAACCATTTAACTAGATCAAGCAGCGTTTCCATAAGGATTAAGAAGTGTACCAAGGAGTAAGACAGGGTGCACAAGGAAAAGATGGTAAATGTCCTTGAGATCACAAACATTCTCCATGGTAGAGAAGCACAAGCTGCCAAAATCAAAGGAGTTGGTTTTAAGCTCCCTTGGTGCTGCTGCAAACAGAACTAATGGAAACTCTTAGTTAACAAAATCTCCATCCCCAGTCTGACAGCATCTCTACAGAGAGTTGTGTAAAACTGCTGAAGGCTACTTTACCTGCAAGACTCTTTTTGCACTGGTATTATAGAAACTTGCTTGAAGGCAGCACTGGGCTGAATATTAACTTTACATAAATTTAACACTGCATAAGTTCACGCAGGAAATTCCCAACAGATCTAAGAAAAATTGTGCTGCTTTCATTCAGTGTCCTAAGGAAAGAAACCACAGGTATTTCTTCCTCAAATGGATATTTCTGCCCTTAAAATTTCATCTTCAGATACATGGGAGTGTCCCAGGGCTTGCTTTGGTTTTCTATAAATACTGGGCTTTTTTTAGTGTTCTTTACTGACTCTTGCCATTTAACATCACCTAAGAAATGAATGCATTTAAAATATTTTCCTTGTATTTTTTCCTAACACCAATGTAGGCAAAAAAAGGAATCTGGCCTGATTCTTCCATGCTGAACTTCCAGCAATTAGGGTAGTGTTAAATGGTGGCCATAAAAGAGAAGCTTTTTTATTGTGTTTCAGTTCAGTGTTTCCAGCTACACTAATGACACGTTTTTCTGTTAGACTGGAAGATGGTATCCACTAAAACACTGGAAGATGAGGCTAAAATAATGGTTTTATTTGGTCTAGGACACATAATTAAGGATCCTACAAATTATTTGACAAATTCAAATAATGGTTACAACAAAGCTACAGTTTGTAGGCAGGCTGTGAGACACCAGCAGCTGTTGGTATCACTCTTTGAAGTACTTTCAAATCTCACCTGCTTGCAGAGACTTGTATCCCTCTCAAATTCAATGGTCTAACAGGAACCTATGGCACAGACTTCATTAAGCTATAGTGGACTTGTGTTTCCCTATAGGAATTAGGACTCTCTGGAACCCAGGGGAAAGGAAAACAAATAGTAAAAAAGAATCATAGAATGGTGAAGGTGGGAAGGGACCTTAAAGATCATCAGGTTCCAACCCCCCTGCATGGGCAGGGACACCTCTCACCAGACCAGGCTGCACAGGTGCTCCAGGTGCTCTAAGGTCTCCCTGGAGCCCTCTCTTCTCCAGGCTGAACACCACAACCCTCCCAGCCTGTCTCCAGAGCAGAGCTGCTCCAGCCCCCTGATCATCCTGATGGCCCTTTTCTGGACCCTCTCCAACAGCCCTATCATGAGGACTCCAGAGCTGGTCACAGTACTCTATGTGTGGCCTAAAAAGGGTAATGTTAACATTTAACAAAAATACCCTAAAGGTTATTTTAACATCCACCTTGTCCATATCACTGGACAGCAAACTAGGATAAGTGATAAAAATGCCACGGGATGGTCTGAATTAGTGCCTGGTCTGACTGGAGTTACTTCAGCAATGGGAGCACAAACACGTGCCAAAGATAATCCAAATATCTTCTCCTTAATGGCTCCATTAAGTAGATTTTTCTTTCCATTACTATTACAATAAAATGCAAACATTAACAATAGAGTCTAATTTCTCTCACTAGCTTCTCATGACTTTGGGAAAAGATTTCAAGTGAAGATACAACAATGTGTCAAACTCCTCTGAATTAACAGCTCTCTGGGCCTTTCTAACAAGGGGAGAAAAGGACAGATAGAGACATGAGATTACAGACAGGATGAGAAATAAGGAACATAGAGAAGAGGGGGTGAGATAATTATAAGCAAGATAGGGAAGAAAGAGGAGTCAATAAATTCAATTTATGAAAAGCACAGAGTGTGCTCAGCCTGAGCACAAGTGCCCAGACTCACCGCCAGGAAATCGGATTAGTGAACTTATTTGGTTTTCAATATCTTGGTCTATTCCCTCTAGCAAATTTTCCTCTTTGTTTGTTTCTTGTAGCCAGTGTCAGTTAACTTTTTCATTTCTGAACCTGCTCTTTATCCCACTCCTCTGCCTTCCAACCAGACACACATAGGAGGTAATTTTGCAGTATTTTACAACAGCGTTTAGTCATTATTTCTAAGCAACTGTTTCCCTGGACTTCTGGGCTATCAGGGAGCAAAAATAATTACAATTAAAGCTGCAACACATGGAGGATGAGCTGCTGAGGACTGATGTTCATTAGGAAAACTCATTGTTCCTTTTGCAAATATTTCCATCATAAAAGGCTTCTCTTTCTCTGTTATCATAAAAGGGAAACCTCTGAATTCTCATCTTGAAGCATGTGTGAAAGAGAATAAGAAACATTTAGGAAACACTTTTAACTACTTGACAGGCTTGGTTGAAGATTGTAAACAAAAAAAGGTATTTAAAAGGGTTCAAAAACCTCATGCTCGTATTTATGCAATTTCCTTTTCCTGCAACTTCTTGAACATGAATTAATCCATCCTCATCATACTCATCTGAAGAATTTTGTAGCAGATACAAACTTCAGCTGTAGCTTAAACATGTCTCAGCAATTAATCGACATTTTTAAGTTACTTTAAAAAATAATACAAAATTAAAATACAGCAAATTAGTGTTCCAGATGATGAAGTTCCAGAAGTGAAGTTCCAGACCACTACATAACAACCTAATATTATTCACTGGCCTGTTTTAGAAAATATCTGACACCCATGCATGGTCCAGTAACTTCAGACTGGATTTTGAAATACAAAATCACACTAAGGAAAAACTTAGGACAAAAAAAATAGACACAAATTATTGTAACAGTAGGAATGGAAAAAAAAAAAACCAAACAATTCAATTTAAAGTAAAAGAAATCCTGTTCAAAAGGTTATGGGGAACTGAGCAGCTTAGAAGAAGGGGATGAGCAGAGATCTCTAGCTGGAGCTGTAGCAGCTTCTGTGCCCAAGGAAGGAACATGGCAAAGATGGTTGCACTTCTCAGGCTTGAGTGTCTGAACATGGCTCAACCATCCTTCCAAAGTAATAAAGTCTCTAGCAGATTTATGAAAGAAAGCCTTAGGCTAGGATGTCATTAAAGGAGAACACTGAGGTCCTGGAGTGTGTCCAGAAACAGGCAATGGAGCTGGGGAAGGGTCTGAAGCACAAGTCTTATGAGGAGCAGTTGAGGGAGCTGGGAATGTTCATCCTGGGGAAAAGGAGGCTGAGGGGAGACATTCTCTGCTCTCTGAACTGCCTGAAAGGAGGCTGGCATAGGGGGGGGTGTCGGTCTCTTCCCCCAGGTTACAGGTGATAGAACAAGTGGAAATGGCCTCAAGTTGTTCCAGAGGAGGTTTAGGTTGGATATTAGGAAAAACTTCCCCAAAAGGGTTGTGAGGCCCTGGCCCAGGCTGCCCAGGGAAGTGGGGGAGTCCCCATCCCTGGAGGGATTTCAAAGTCACACAGATGTGGTGCTGAGGGACATGAGTTAGTGGTGGCCTTGGCAGTGCTGGGTTAATGGTTGGACTTGATGATCTTAAAGGCTTTTTCCAAACAAAACCATTCTATGATTCTGAGGTGATTTTAGAGCAGCCCAGACACCCAAACTGGCCCCGTCCTGCTGTGCTCAGGAGAACCACACTCCGAGTTTTGCTTCCAGCACTGCCAATCCAGTGAGGCTGCCTGGGCAAAAAGGAGCTTAGCAACCATATAAACAAAGATTTTACAATAATAACACCCCACAAATCCTTTAAGCACTGTGGTCTGAGAATAGCTCTAGTACTGCCACACAGTCATTGTCTCCTACCACCACACTAGACCACAAGCAGAGTTAACTCCAGCAAGATCTTCAGGAATACAAGAGCAAAAATGGTCACAGAGAATAATGACAAAATCTTACTTACAGAAAAGTATTTCTGTACAGGCAGAATGAACTCCAGTGAAAATGATTATCAAATACTAGACGTGCCTGCTGGGTCTCTGCTAACATATTAGAACATGTGTTTTCACATGTTCAAATATTCATTAATGGATTTTAGCAGAAATAAAGATCAACAGACTTATTTAAGCCCTTTCTACATGCACTGCAAACATGATCTATAAGCACACTTCCAAGTGGCCTAATAAGACTTATAAATTTTAGCTTCTTTTAACTGGAAGATGCACATCTTACTGCTATTTCTCTTATGCTGCCCTAATAAAACATAAAGATTTTGATCTATAGTAACAACCTGTACCCTAGAAAACTGGATGAGAGAAGGGCAAGACCACGTAAAGGGCAGTATTAGACTCTCAGATTATGTGTTGTGTCCAATTCTGGAGCTCCCAACACGAAAAGGACATGGAGTTCATAGAGAAAGTCCAGAGAAAGGCCACAAAGGTGATCCAAGGGCTGGAGCACCTCCCCTATGAGGACAGGCTGAGAGTGTTGGGGGTGTTCAGCCTGGAGAAGAGAAGGCTCCAGGGAGACCTTAGAGCAGCTTCCAGTGCCTGAAGGGGCTCCAGGAAAGCTTGGGGAGGGACTTTACAAGGGCTTGTAGCAAGAGGACAAAGGGGAATAGATAAAAACTTGAAGAGGGGAGATTTAGATTAGACATGTGGAAGAAATCCTTTAGGGTGAAGGTGGTGAGACCCTGGCCCAGGTTGCCCAGGGAAGCTGTGGCTGCCCCATCCCTGGCAGTGTTGAAGGGCAGGTTGGATGGGGCTTGGAGCAGCCTGGAATGGTGGGAGGTGTCCCTGCCCACACAGGGGGGTTGGACCTAAATGATCTTTAAGATCCCTCTCAACCCAAACCATTCTATGATTCTATGATAACACAAAAGAAATCAAGGCTTCCAACTGGTGGGCAACCTGGTTTGAGACATCCATTCAATTATCATATTTAGGAAAACCAGTATCAGGTAGTTTAATCCATTTGTTTCACTGCTAAAACTGCAGATACCAGGAAACATCTGCCAGCAGCAATAGCTACTACACTGAACAACAGCTTCCCAAAAGGAAGAGATGGAAACCTTAGTATTTAAATACATTGAGAATGGAGTCCACAGAGCTTGTGAAAACAAACATATTTACTGAGAACTGCACTGCTTTAGCATGTAAGATGGACTATTTGGATAATCTGATGGTCTTCATCTTCTTCACTCCAGCAGGGGCAGTGTTTCTAACTCACCTGTTTGGCACGGTTGACACAATGCAGGTACTGGCTGGCCAGGGCAGAGCAGCTGAGGGTCTCCTGAGGGTGTTGTTGATAACACTGTAGAATTTTATCCTGCAGATCAGTGCAGATGGGATGGGACTCGTATCGCCTGGGGAAAGAGAAAAGAACTTTTTGGTTTCCTTCTCAAAAAGCTTTCAGGAAGGATGTAACTCATTTTTTCATTATTTTTTGAAAAGAAGTAAATTAATAGAAGCGAAGGAAAACACTTTAAAGTTAGAAAGAAATGCTGTTTCTAGAGCTAATTGAGTTATAAATTGGTAATATCAGATGCAAACATCAACGTGAGCAGCCAAAGTTTGGTTCTTAGGACCACAAGTGTCCTGCTGATCCAGAGAAAATTAACATCTCACTTCTTATGAGCACACATCTTGAACTGAAGGTCCCAGCAATGAGGAAGCACATATGACCTCACCCACATTAGAAAACCAGTCACAGAACTACAGGAGAAAGTCTCATTGCTGTGTAGCCCTGTGGCCATAAAATCTTGCTACTTATTAAACATTGCTCCTGCATAGAAGTGAAGTCACTCATTGGGCTGACCTTGAGAATAAAAAAACCCTCCTCTTTTTTTTGCCACCGTCAGCAAATTACACAACCTCCTTTTGCTGATCTGATGATGGTCTCTATTTTTGGTGCATCCTCCCTCCCATCACCTCAATTCTAATCCCAACACCAGATGTGCAAGTTATTTAGGAATTTTTCTCTCTTTACTACATGGATTCATTACTCTTGCCTTCTTTTTTTTGCTGACACTGTAGACTTTTTGCCTTCAGTGGAACTCAAGAGGAAGGGAATCTTCCTTAGTCTGCCCTGTTAAATCCTATCTCTTTTGGATAAAAATCTTGTCATTTGCATTCATTTAGAAAATGTTATCCAGGCTCATAGTGCCACAGAATTAAAATGAGAATACAATACTTTCCTATTTCAAAAGTAAGGGCATTGAAGTGAAGTGTTGCAGAGATGAGATGTCCACTGAAATTTTAAGCTAACTGGACACCTACTTTCTAAATACTTTTTAAGGTATAAGCACAAATCAAATCAGTTAAACCACTTTCACACCAAGATACCTACTTTCTAAATACTTTTTAAGGTATTCCTTCCTATAAGAGCAAATCAAATCAGTTAAACCACTTTCACACCAAAAATAAAATATTTCAATGGTGGAAAAAAGTACATAAAAAAGTAGAAAAGAATTTCCAGTTTATATGCCTTGAAAACAAGCATTTGTTTTACACGTGAGAACTGTACATGTAACACATCTTCCCATCTACCCTACCAGGAAAACCTGACAGTGGTCAATCTAACTTCCATTCCAGTGCACGTTATTCTTAGTTCAATAAGGGTGTAAAAAGCCCAGGGTTCATCACCCACAGTATCTTCAGTTTAATATTCTGTTCCTTATTACTTTGCTGATTGGCCAAGGCAGATCTGTTTTACTACAGGAAGAAAGTGAAGCATGAAACACAACACTGTTCCTCAGGGGAATCGAGTTCTTGGCAGTCACTCAAGATGTAGTTACCAATAAAAAAGGAGGAATGTTAAGTCACCTTGATTTTACAGTACATACCTATATAAAACATCCCTCTTACTCTTTTCATTCCTTACCATACATCTGTAAAATGCCTAAAACAGAATTCAAATGCAGTCCCAGGTGCTCATCTGCTTTATGATCTGCAAGTTCAAACTTCTGTAGAGTCTTAGGGATGAGCATTTTCCCTTAATCCCTACTCTGCTGGTATCAGCAAGCACTTCAAAAGCCTGTTAGGCATCAAAATATATGACCATAAACTGCTGCACACTGACTGATGATGGCAAGGTCTGTATCAGGATGGAGCATGAGAGGAAGCACCACGTACACTCCGTACACATTAGACTTTCCCAGTGGTGATGATTTCAGGCCAACTAAACCAGATCTCATTTTAAATGCCTGAAACCCTGGTCAGGATTGATCAACCAATACAACAGATCATGAGTTAACAAAAAATACACACAGCAAACCTTGCTGTGCCTTCCCTCACAAATGATTTAAGTGTGACCTCATAGAGTGTGTCTTACAGAAAGGTGAGGAGCAAAGAATAAGGCCTTGCTACAGAAATTCTGTACATGTCTTTAAAGCCATTTCAACATGGCTCCTCTAACCACATTCAGGAGCATGTTTTAATTGTGGGGGCTTTTGTGTTTTGTTTTGGGTTTTTTTTCTCTAAGCCATGGCATTATTGGCCATTCAAAGTCCACATATTATTCCTTATGTGAATGCTTCAATGGACTCCCTACTTTGCCAACCAAAGTGTCCTGTAAGACACGTTTCCTGCTCCACAGTTACTCGTTTTCACACTCAGACTTTTCACTGGTCACTTTTCAAAACATGCTCTCAGCCCATTGCCTTTCCTTCCAGACACTGCAGACCTGACACAGGTCAACACCAAAAAGGCAACTTCCTTCAAGTCAATGAAGTATATGTATCCAGCAGGACCAGAGCAGGGATTGTCCCCCTCTGCTCAGCACTGGTGAGGTCACACCTTGAATCCTGGGGTCAGTTCTGGGCCCCTCAGAACAAGAAGGACATGGAGGGGCTGGAGCACGTCCAGGGAAGGGCCACGGAGCTGGGGAAGGGGCTGAAGCACAAGTCTGCCCAGAAGCAGCTGAGGGAGCTAGGGGTGTCCATCCTGGAGAAAAGGAGGCCAAGGGGAGACCCCACTCTCCGCAGCTGCTGGAGCAAGGGGGAGTCTGCCAAGTAGCAAGCTACAGAACAAGAGGAAATGGCCTGAAGTTGTGCCAGGAGAGGTATAGATTGGATATTAGGAAAAATATCTTCCCTCAAAGGGTTGTCAGGCTCTGGCACAGGCTGCCCAGAGCAGTGGTGGAGTCCCCATCCCTGGAGGGATCTCAAAGCCATGTAGATGTGGTGCTGAGGGACATGGTTTAGTGGTGGCAGGGCTGGGTTAATGGTTGGACTCAGTCTTAAAAGTCTTTTTGAACCAAAACGATCCTATGATTCTAGAGTCCATTTCTTGGATTAATCTGTTGAAGGAGAGCACTGTCTTCCCTATTGATCTGCTGTGCTTGTTGAACAACCCTAATGCACTATTTGCACTTTTGGGAAAAGACTAAATGAGATTACTGTCTCACATGAGATGGCTGTAAACCACGTGCTGCAGGATCTCCTGTTCAGGAAAGAAGGTTGTAATGCCCATTATGGTAACCCCACTGAAGAGTTTGCAATTGATTTCTGTTTGGTGATGGATGACAGGACTCCTGGATGGATGGTCAAAAACAGCCAACAGCAGGGAAACTCCTCAAAAGGGAAATGAAATATCTCCCTAAAAGAGAACTCCTCTATTGTTCGTATAAATAGGGGGAACTGAACAGAAGCATTTAAGGGGCTGTGGGGCTTGGCTGAAGAATAAGCTTGTAAGAAAAGGAAGGAAAAGGGAAAGGTTTTAGTGAAAACTCAGTAATTATGTGGAATCTGTAGTAAAAACATGGAGGTTTTAAATACCTGAATGGGTAAAGTGACATGGTCTGGTCCCAGACCTGACCCTGCTTCAAGTAGAAGGTCCCTTCCCTGAACTATCCTGTACCCTGAGAGAGAGAGATATCTGCATTTTGGGACACGTGGCCAGGAAAGTCTCCCATTAATGGTTTGCTTTGCTTTTTTTAAAAACACTTAGGAATTTCACAACTAAACTGAAGGAAAAATACACAACGTAGCAGTGCCCAGGACTGCTAGGGAACCCTGAGAGATCTCCCATCTCCACTCAGTGCAGCTCCACAACTTCTTTACAGAATCAACACACATGAAACCTAAAAGGCCTTTCTTAGCAAAAGTCAAGATGAACAGCAGTCTGCTCTGCCACATGGCTCCCTAGTAACGACGTGTTTTTATGAAGTTTGCAATTACTTCATCTGCTTTTGCTTTCCCAGCTGCTCCTCAAGCACCTCACACGCCAGCAGAATATTTCTACGTGCTGGAAAAACCCTCTGAGGGAGCCCCACACCCACCTTTTCCATCAAGCTGATGCGCCGCAATCTCATCCAGGTAGTGGGATGAAGAGACAGAAGAAAATGAGAGAGAGTTTTCAAAAGAAATATTCTATGCTAAAGTATGAAGAGAAAATTTAATGAAGGTAACTTTGTACTCCTGGAGCCTCTGTCAAAGAGCATAGCTTATTGTACTCCTGGGGGCAGCAAGAAAGGAGCCCCTTCATGGCATTCAAGCAAAATGTCTACTAAAGAGGAAACTGGAAATCACCACGGTAAGCTTTACAAGTTTTTGTGATAAAACTGACATTCTGACTGAAGGAATCTGAATGGCTGATGAGTTTCCAACTGTGCAGGTATCTGGCATAATCCCACCAGATCGGGGCTTCAGGCAATTGTCGTAAAATATGGGGGGAAAAATAGCAAAATAAACCAGCAGACAATAGAAAAAAAACAGTGCCATTAGCTGGCCAGAAGTATCCAGGGCTTCATTTTATTCCTCATTAAAATGCTGACACCTATCAAAACCATCTGTTTTTATTTGTGTAAACCTTCACATCTAAGGATACCTCAGGACTACTAAATACAACAATCCTCTGGATTCAAGGCCAAGCAGCACGATACAGCCCAACCTGCATCTAAGTGTACTACAGAAGCACAGGATGGTCTGGGTTGGAAGGGACCTCAATGATCATCTAGTTCCAGCCTCCCTGCATGGGCAGAGACACCTCCTGCTAGACCAAGTTGCTCCAAGCCTGGTGTAAAGTGTAAAATCTTGCCTTCTCCTCCACATTAGTAGCTCAGCACATCCACAACCAAATCACAAACAGGGGACAGTCCCCACCATGTGCTCTTCTCCCAGCCATGCTTGGTGTTGTCCAGGGAAACTTTAAAACAAAAATGTGTAAACAAAAATTAGACCCAAAGCACCAGTGTGGGAAAGCCCTGGAATTGCTGTTTCAACCTGTTTATTTACTTCTGCTGATGCAGGAAAGAAGTCATGCTGTGACCAGACCCCAGCTGCACTAGGTAGCATGCAAAGAAAAAATAATAAGGATGTTTCTTTTCTCAACATGCTTAGAATGCACATAAAGATAAGAACAACAA